CAGCATGAGGGCTGAATGTGCACATTCGCAGAGGTATATTAAATGCAATTCAGGGAAGAGACCCTTTTTCTTGTCAGTTGAAAGGCTAATAAGGACTGTACTGTATTATAAATCCCAACTGTACTTTATGAGAACAGAGGAAAATGTGCTTGCATCTCAGAGCCAAATCTGGCCCTTCTACGGCTCAAGTATCAGATTGGCAGTATTTATTTTCTAGTATTCCCACAGCAGAACCATTACCAGAAGAGAATGAATGACCGAGAGTAATGCTCCTTGCACCTGCCAGGTGCTCTCTTTCAATGCAGTATAATCATTTTAAAGCTGCCTTTGGGATTTGATGAGTCATGGTGCTATAGTGGGAATGGTAATAAAAACTAATCACTTGTGTTTTTAAAGGAAAATGTCTTCTGCATAGCTTCAGTCCTATAGATCCGAGTTTATCCCCAATTTTAGGCCCAACTTGTTAAGATTAAATAAGGGCCAGTGTGATCAAATGCAGTGTGGCCGCCTGCAATAAGAAAACTGACATATTTTGATTGCCAGGGTGAGATTTATGTGAAGTGGCGGTATATAGAAGTGATTATGTAAAATTAATAAGCAAATTACTAATCTCTGTCCAATTACAAGAAACAATAAGCAACTGAAATTGCTTTTAAAGTTCACGGTATTTATCAAAACGTCAACGGTGAAACACCTCAGCTGTAAAGGCAAAGCTCCTTTTATGGCAATGACATTTTAGAATAGTTTTCTGCTATTTTAGTAGTTAAATATATGAAAGTCTAGTAAGTCATCACTAAAATGGTACAGCTTTGCAGTTGACTAATCTATCTCGAGAAAATTTGTACATGTATTTGTTTTTCATGTAGTAATAGCATATAATGTAGCAATCCAAACCTTTGATACCTAAATATCTAACTGACTTAAAGCGCTGCCATCTTTTTCATAATTCTTTTGAAAATTAGTCTCTCTGGATGCTAGTAAAGGTGGGGGAGAGACGTTGCCCCCCCACAGGTTCCACCTAGGCACCAATCAGGGCCTGAGGGGTGGGAGAAGCGCACGAGAAGTTTCCTCCACCCTGCCCTCACCCTGCGAGGAGTGCCTGGTGCTTAGAAGTGTCATGCGCTCCTCACAGGGCAGGAGGAGGCTTCGCACACTGCCCTTGCCCCCAGAACCTGATTAGCCTGGGAGTGGGGGGAGTATGAAAAGTTTGCTCCACCCTGCCCCCGCCCTGTGAGGAGTGTGAAGTGTTTAGATGCACCACACGCTCCTCACAGGGTGTGAGGAGGCTTTGAATGTTCCCCCTGCCTCCAGGCCAAATCAGGGTTTGGGGGCAGAGGGAGTGTGCGAAGTTTTCTCCATCTTGCCCCCGCCCTGAGAGGAGTATGTGGTGGGAGGAGGCTTCACATGCTGCCCCGCCCCAAAGTCCTGATTGGCCTGGAGGTGGGGAGTGTGTGGGGCACGGTGGAGGAAACTTTGTACACTCCCCTGGCCCCAAACCCTGATTGGCCCGGGGCAGGGGAACGTGTGAAGCCTCCTCCTGCCCTGCAAGGAGTGCATGGTCCTTCTAAGCTGCACGCTCCTTGCAGGGCGGAGGAAACTTTGTGTGCCTCCCCCTGCTCACAGGCCCTAATTGGCCTTGGGGCAGAGGCGTGGCAGGGCCCCCACAGGCCAGATCCACCTGCTTAGCAGGCTGGATCTGGGCTGCAGAGGCCCTTTTGCCCACCCCTGCTCTAAGGGCATGTCTACACAGCAGGGCTAAAGCCGAAATAAGCTACACAACTTGAGGTATGTCAATTACGTAGCCTAAATCGAAATTGCTTATTCCGGCTTTTGGCACTGTCTACACAGCAGGAAGTCTGAGAAAAAGCACTCTTCTTCCAATTTCCCTTACTCCATGTTAAATGAGGGCTACAGGCGTTGGACAGCTTGACATTATTTCGACATTATGTCAAACTGCTTGCTGTATAGACACGGACTATGTTATTTTGGAATAATATCAGTTATTCCGAAATAACACTGCTTTGTAGACATAGCCTAAACTATACTAACATGTCCACGTTGCACAGACTTTTTGGCTTGGAACTATAGCTTGAGCTTTCATCACACTGCAAAATGATAGAGCTTGGACTGAATCTCAATGGAACTTGGGCTCTGACCCACAACTCTCAGTTAATTTCTAGGGCATGGGTTGCTGTGCCCACTGAAGGCAATAGGTTTTTGTTGTGGACTTCAGTAAGTCTAGAATTTCATTCCTTATATAAAGAACCCTCCTGGACCTTGTAAAACATAACACTAGGCTGTGAGGAGGACAAATTCTGTTTCTCAAATTTCAAAATTTGGCTTAGTTTCTGATTGGAATGAAACCCAAACATTTGAAATTCTAAATCAGGTAAACTTTGTCAAAACAAAATCTTTTGATCAATCCAAAATTGAAATGTTTCATTTTTATTTTGACCTGTTTTATATTATATTGTTTATACAGCACATATCACAATGAAGTCCTGGTTCTAAGATATCTAGGGACGATAGTAATCCAAATAACAATTCTAACACAAAATTTTTAAAAATCAAACTGAAAAAGTAACTTCAAAATACAAAAAAGAAATCTCATTTAGGAAATGTCAGGACATTTAATCATTGTCAGGACCTTTTCCCCAGTTTTTTAAAGCTCCCTTTTGGTTCAATTGATATGATTTCACTAAGGCTTTGTCTATCTATGCAGCTTTTAGCAACATGGCTATATCGATACAACCATGTCAGAAAAAATCAGGCAGTGTAATGGCTGTTTGTCAGCTTTTTAAATACTTCCATCCCAACAAAGGACATTTACTACGTCAGC